TAAGCCCTTGTCAGCACACAGTACCATCCTATAAAATCCCCAGCAAACCTTTGTCTCCTTGCAGTCTGCCCCTCTCTCACTGACCTGCCCCTTGCATCCTTGCAATGTATTTTCATACTTTCTCTCTCTCTCTTTTTTTTTTTTTTTGAGATGGAGTCTGGCTCTTGTCACCCAGGCTGAAGTGCAATGGAGGGATCTCGGCTCACCGCAACCTCAACCTCCCACGCTCAAGTGATTCTCCTGTCTCAGCCTCCTGAGTAGCTGGGATTATAGGCATGGGCCACCACACCCGGCTAAATTTTGTATTTTTAGTAGAGATGGGGTTTCACCATCTTGGCCAGGCTGGTCTCTAACTCCTGACCTCGTGATCTGCCTACCTCAGCCTCCCTAAGTGCTGGGATTACAGGTGTGAGCCACCGCGCCCAGCTTTTTTCATACTTTCTGTAATAAATCTGCCTTTTTTTTTTACCAACAACTGTCTTGGTAAATTCCTTTACTGCCTGCATGATAGCAATCTTAGATAGTTGCCACTCACCTGCAACAGGCAACATGGCGAAACCCCATCTCTACAAAAAATACAAAAATCAGCTGGGTGTGGTGGCACATGCCTGTGCTCCCAGCTACTTGGCAGGGCTGAAGTGGGAGGATCACTTGAGTCCAAGAGGTTGAATCTGCAGTGAGCCGTGTTTGCACCACTGCCCTCCAGCCAAAGAAACAAGAAACAAACAAGAAAAGACCTTGCCTTTAAGCACAAGGACTGTGGGACTCCAGAGTGTGGCTGTGCATGAAAGACAATGAAGTGGGCACTATGCTGCTGGGGGCAGAGAAAAAAAGGGACATATGTGACCTAACACAAAAGCTAGAGCTGGGTCTGATGGCAAAGATGGCTTGTGGGACTTGTGGGATGCTGCTACGGCAAGCTGCATTTTCTAAGACTGCCCTGGCAGTACGTATCTGATTCTACATGTTCTCCTTACAGTGTGACTGGATATTCCTCCTTTGAGAGATAGGTCTATGTTCCCTACCCTTAAACCTGAGTAACCTTTTGTGTCTACCTCAACCAAAAAAAATCTGGTGGAATGATGCCATGTGACTTCTAAGATTAGGTCATAAAACGGCTTCTCCCTGCCTCTCTATTAGGGCACCTACCTTGGGAACCCCTGAGCTGTTATGTAAATCTAACTACCTTCAAGCTGCCTTGCAGGAGACACCACACAGAGTTAAAAGGGATGTCTGAGGAGCCCCAGGTGTTCCAGTACCTAGCTGTTGGAGTCTCCTCAGCATAAGCACCAGGCATGTATATGAAGAAACCTTTGAGATAAGCTAACCCCAACCAGTCAGGCTGCAATCTCATGAGAGAACTTGAGCAGAACTGCCCTTGAGCTGCTCTAGAATTCTTGACACATAGAAACCATGAGAGGTAAAAATGATTGTTGTTCAAAACAATTAATTTTATGGGCGATTTGTTATATGGTCATAGTGCTTGGGAAAGGGAACTAGACACATTTACCAAAATTGACCATAACCTGGGCCAAATTGTAGTTAGGATTAAAAAAACCATTTGGGGTAATTGTAATTTAGTTTTATTTATTTATTTATTTATTTATTTATTTATTTATTTATTTATTTAGAGATGGAGTTTCACTGTTGTTTGCCCAGGCTGGAGTGCAGTGGCTCAGTCTAGGCTCACTGCAACCTCTGCCTCCCAGGTTCAAGCGATTCTCCTCCCTCAGCCTACCCAGTAGCTGGGATTACAGGCATGCACCACCATGCCTGGCTAATTTTTGTATTTTAGTAGAGATTGGGTTTCATCACGTTGCCCAGGCTGGTCTCGAATTTCTTTTTTTTTTTTTGAGACAGAGTCTCACTCTGTCACCCAGGCTGGAGTGCAGTGGCTGGATCTCAGCTCGCTACAAGCTCTGCCTCCCAGGTTTACGCCATTCTCCTGCCTCAGCCTCCCAAATAGCTGGGACTACAGGCGCCCACCACCTCGCCCGGCTAGTTTTTTGTATTTTTAGTAGAGACGGGGTTTCACCGTGTTAGCCAGGCTGGTCTCGATCTCCTGACCTCGTGATCCGCCCGTCTCGGCCTCCCAAAGTGCTGGGATTACAGGCTTGAGCCACCGTGCCCGGCCTCGAATTTCTTATCTCAGGTGATCCACCCTCCTCGGCCTCCCAAAGTGCTGGGATTATAGGCGGGAGCCACTGTGCGCGGCCGCCATTTACTCTTAAAAATAAGAACCTAGGGGCCGGTCGCAGTGGCTCATGCCTATAATCCCAGCACTTCAGGAGGCCAAGGGGGGTGGATTGCCTGAGGTCAGGAGTTTGAGACCAGCCTCATGGCGAAACCCCATTTCTACTAAAATTCAAAGATTAGCCAGGTGTAGTGGCAGGCACCTGTAATTCCAGCTACTCGGGAGGCTGAAGCAGGAGAATCGCTTGAACCCGGGAGGCAGAGGTTGCAGTGAGCCGAGACTGAGCCACTGCACTCCAGCCTGGGCAACAGAGCCAGACTCCATCTCAAAAAAAAAAAAAAAGAAAAAGAAAGAACCTAGACTGACTGCCATGGCTCAGGCCGTGGCTCATCCTGGCATTTTGGGAGGCTGAGGCAGGCAAATCACTTGAGGCAGGGAGTTTGAGACCATGGCAATACCCCCTCTCTACTAAAAAATACAAAAACAAGCCAGATGTGGTGGCACACGCCTGTAATCCCAGCACTTTGGGAGGCTGAGGAGGGTGGATCACTTGAGGCCAGGAGTTTGAGACCAGCCTGGCCAACATGGCGAAACTCCATCTTTACAAAAAATAGAAAAAGCATCCAGGTGTGGTGGCACATGCCTGTAATCCTAGCTACTCAGGTGACTGAGGCACGAGAATCCCTTGAACCTGAGAGGTGGAGGCTGTAGTGAGCTGAGATTGCTCCACTGCACTGCAGCCTGGGCAACAGAGCAATACTCCATCTCAAACAAAACAAAACAACAAAAAAGAAGAAAAGGCCGGGCGCACGGGTACAGTGGCTCATGCCTGTAATCCCAGCACTTTGGGAGGCCGAGGCAGGTGGATCACCTGAGGTCAGGAGTTTGAGACCAGCCTGACCAAAATGGCAAAACCCTGTCTCTACTAAAAACACAAAATTAGCTGGGTGTGGCGGTGCATGTCTGTAGTCCTAGTTACTCAGGAGGCTGAGGAAGGAGAATCACTTGAACCTGGGAGGCAGAGGTTGCAGTGAGCCGAGGCTGTGCCACTGCACTCCAGCCTGGGCAATGACAGAGCAAGACTTTCTCTCCAAAAAAAAAAAATTCTAATGTCAATGGATAGAAAAGATCTTCCCTAATCTGATAAGTGACTCAATGAAAAACTATAGCAAATATCATATTAAATAGTAAAATAGTAGTAAAATATCAAAGTTTTTCCTCTTGAAGTTGGGAGCAAGACAATGATATCCACTACCTCTACATTGTCCTAGCAAATACAGAAGGCAAGAAAAAATAAAACGTATAAGGCTCAAAACAGAAGGAAAAAACTGTCATTATGTAGCAGGACAAGCCGCAGACAAAACCTCTCAGACACCGAGTTGTAGAAGGAAGGGCTTTATCCAGCTGGGAGCATCGGCAAGCTACTGCCTTAAAATCCAAGCTTCCCGAGTGCACAATTTCTGTCCCTTTTAAGGGCTCACAACACTAAAGATTTCACATGAGAGCGTCGTGATTGATTTGAGCAAGCAGGGGGTACGTGACAGGGGCTGCATGCACCAGTGGTCAGAGAGAAACAAAACAGGGCCGGGAGTTTCACTACGTTCTTTTATACAATGCCTAGAATCTATGAATAATATCGGTTTCTAAGTTATTAGTTGATTTTTAACTACTGGGTTTAGGACAGGCAGGCCCAGGCCTGGTTTTGGGCCTAGCACCGGGCTGCCTGTCTTTGGTTTTACTTCCTTGTTTTTTTCTTAAAACAGGTACTGAATATAAAACAATATAAAACAATATGAGAGGGTCTCTCTCTCTCTCTCTCTCTCTTTCTCTCCTCAATTATATGGAATTGACATACTTGCATGTCAAGAAAATTCAAAATAATCTACAGAAAAATTATTAGAATAAAAAGAATTTTAAAAGAATTAAAACATTAAAGGTCAGGTACGGTGGCTGACACCTGTTATCTCAGCAGTTTGGGAGGCCAAAGCTGGCGGATCACCTGAGGTTGGGGGTTCAAGACCTGACCAACATGGGGAAACCCCGTCTCTACTAAAAATACAAAATTAGCTAGGTGTGGTGGTGTACACCTGTAATCCTAGCTACTGGGGAGGCTGAGGCAGGAGAACCGCTTGAACCCTGGAGGTGGAGGTTGTCGTGAGCTGAGATTGCGCCACTGCACTCCAGCCTGGGCAACAACAGTGAAACTCCAAAAAAAAAAAAAAAAAAAAAAAAATTCTTTTTAAGTAAATAAAAATGAAAGAAAGGAAAAGACAGACTGAGAAACTATTCTAGAGTAAAGAAGACTAAAGAGACATGATGTGGTATAAAATGTATTTGGTTTGTTTCTGCCCCAGAACTCTTAAAATCCTAGAAATATCCTGAGTGCTGGGAGGAGTTTTGTTATTCATAATTAATTCCTTTGATAAGTCCTGAGTTTATGCTAATGAACCTGCTTAGGGCGGGCCCGTAGATAGCTTCAGGATGGGGCTGGTCACCAGAAAGTCCAGGTGATTAGAGGATTAGATGGTTGGAACTTAAGCCCACCCACCAACATCTGGAAGGGCTGAGGGTGCAAGAAATTTAGCTCTATTAAAAATGTAAACACGGTAGTCGGCTCGAGTACTAATAACGAGGAGGTGTTCCCGGGCGTCCCACCCTCCTCTGCAGTCTCCGGGCTGCGCCGCCGGAGCCCGGACGCGCCCCCGCTGCCCTCGCCGCCTCCATCCCCGCTGCCCTCGCCGCCTCCAACCCCCCTGCCCTCGCCGCCTCCATCCCCGCTGCCCTCGCCGCCTACAACCCAGCTGCCCTCGCCGCCTGCAACCCCGCGGCCTCCGCTCCCCTCGCCGTCCGCGCGCACACCGTGACGAAGAACGAGAAGTCCCTCAACCAGAGCCTCGCCCAGTGGAAGCTCTTCATATGCAACCTGACCACCGGTGAGTTCCTGGGGCGCACCGCCAACAGTTGGGGTTTGATCTTGCTCTTCTACCTAGTTTTTTATGAGTTCCTGGCTGCACTCTTCTCATTCACGATGTGGGTTAGGCTTCAGACTCTAAACCAAATACCGTGTTCCAAAATACCGTGACCAGATTCCTAGCCCAGGACTTACGGTTTTTCCAAAACCAGTGACTGCATTGGAATATACATTCAGTAGGTCTGATCCAACTTCGTATGCAGGGTACATTGAAGACCTTAAGAAGTTTCTAAAACCATATACTTTAGAAGAACAGAAGAACCTCACAATCTGTCCTGATGGAGCACTTTCCGAACAGAAGGGTCCAGTTTATGTTGCATGTCAGTTTCCTATTTCGTTACTTCAAGCATGCAGTGGTATGAATGATCCTGATTTTGGCTATTCTCAAGGAAACCCTTGTATTCTTGTGAAAATGAACAGAATAATTGGATTAAAGCCTGAAGGAGTGCCAAGGATAAAGTGTGTTTCAAAGAACGAAAATATACCAAATGTAGCATTTTATCCTCATAATGGAATTATAGACTTAAAATATTTCCCATATTATGGTAAAAAAACTTCATGTGGGGTATCTACAGCCATTGGTTACTGTTCAGGTCAGCTTTGCTCCTAACAATACTGGGAAAGAAGTAACAGTTGAGGGCAAGATTGATGGATGAGCCAACCTAAAAAGTCAGGATGATGGTGACAAGTTTTTGGGATGAGCTATGTTCAAAATCACAGCAAGTGCATAGTATAAGTAGGATATCTCCACAGAGTAAATGTTGTGTTGTCTGTCTTCATTTTGTATCAGCTGGACCTTCCTTTCTAGAATTATGAGACTACCTTGGAGAAAGATGTGTGGTACATGACTCTGGGTTACATCATAACGTGCTTCCAGATCGTAGTGTTCAATGTCCTCTGAAGTAACTGCCTGTTGCCTCTGCTGCCCTTTGAACCAGTGTACAGTCGCCAGATAGGGACCGGTGAACACCTGATTCCAAACATGTAGGATGGAGGTCTTGTCCTTTTTTTATGTGGTTTAATTGTTAAGTGTCTAAAGCTTAATATGCTGTGCTATGTAAATATTTTATGGATATAACACTGTCATATTTTGATGTCAACAGAGTTTTAGAGATAAAATGGTATCCGGCCAACATCAAGTGACTTTATAGCTGCAAGAAATGTGGTATGTGGAGAAGTTCTGTATGTGAGGAAGGAAAAAAAGAAAATTAAAGTGCATTTGAAAAATATTTTTTAAAAATTTAAACACTAAGATTTGATGAATTTCCTTTCTGCTGAACACCAGAAGGTGCTGGGAGGGTGGCACACCCAGAGGTCATGGCAGCACCACAACCCTCCCTCTCTACTTTGCCATATCCATCTCTTCATTTGGTTGTTCATCTGTATCTTTTTATGATTTTTTTTTTTTTTTTTGAGACAATCTCACTCTGTCGCCCAGGCTGGTTTGCAGAGGCATAATCATGGCTCCCTGCAACCTCTGCCTCCCAAGTAGCTGGGATTACAGGCATATACCACCAGGCCCGTCTAATTTTTGTATTTTTTAGTACAGATGGGGTTTTACCATGATGGCTAGGCTGTTCTTGAACTCTTGACCTCATGTAATCCACCTGCCTTGGCCTCCCAAAGTGCTGGGATTACAGACATATACCACCAGACCCGTCTAATTTTTGTATTTTTTAGTACAGACGGGGTTTTACCATGATGGCTAGGCTGTTCTTGAACTCCTGACCTCATGTAATCCACCTGCCTTGGCCTCCCAAAGTGCTGGGATTACAGGCCTGAGCCACCGTGACCGGACAAGACCCTGCTTTTTTTTTTTGAGTCTTACTCTGTTGTCCTGGCTGGAGTGCAGTGGCGCGATCGCAGCTCACTGCAACCTCTGCCTCGTAGGTTCAAGCGATTCTCCTGCCTCAGCCTCATGAGTAGCTGGGATTACAGGTGCCTGCCACCACGCCCAGCTAATTTTTGTATTTTTAGTAGAGATGAGGTTTCACTGCGTTGGCCAGCTACTTGGGAGGCTGAGATGGGAGAATCACTTGAACCTGGGATGTGGGGGTTGCAGTGAGCCAAGATCATGCCACTGCACTCCAGCCTAGGCAACAGAGCAAGACAGCAAGACTCTTTTTTTTTTTTTTTTTTTTTTTGAGATGAAGTTTCACTCTTGTTGCCCAGGCTGGAGTGCAATGGTGCGATCTCGGCTCGCTGCAACCTCTACCTTCCTGGTTCAAGCCTTCCAAAGTGCTGGGATTACAGGAGTGAGCCACCGCGCCCATTTCATGGCAGGCGTACAAAAACTTTTGTATTTTTAGTAGCCACCACGTTGGCCAGGCTGGTCTCGAACTCCTGGCCTCAAGTAATCCTCCTGCCTTGGCCTCCCAAAGTGCTAGAATTAGGCAGGAGAATAGGACCTGGAGGCAGGGAACCTAAGGACTTCCGAAAACTAAATCAAATGGAAACATCTCAGCTATGACAGGAAATATCCTTTTCATTTACCTAGGCTGTACAGTGAGTAAATGATTTTGTAACTTTACTTCATCCTCTTCATTTACATAGGGTGTACGTCGAGTAATTAATGGAAACCTCTGGAGGGTATTTAAACCCCAGAAAATTCTGTAACGGGGCTCTTGATCCCCTATGCTCAGGCCTACTTTCAACCTCTGGAGTGTACTTTTGTTTTCGAGAAATCTCTGCTTTTGTTGCTTCATTCTGTCCTTGCTTTGTTTGTGCATTTTGTCCAATTCTTTGTTCAAGATGCCAAGAACCTGGACACCCTCAACCGGTAACAGGATTACAGGCCTGAGCCACCACGCCCGGCCTATGATATCTTTTATAATAGACTGGCAATGTGTTTGCCTGAGTTCTGTGAGCTGTCCTAGCAAAGTAGTCAAACCCAAGGAGAGGTTGCAGGAACCCTGCTTTCTAGCCAGTCAGAAGTACCAGTGGCCTAAGGATCGTGTCAGAGTTTTCATTCACTCATTCATTCATTTACTTATCATTCTTGTAAGTACATAGTAGGTGTATGCATTTCTGGAGTACATGAGATATTTTGGTACAGGCATGCAATGTGTGGCATCAGAATTGAACTGAATTATGGGACACCCCGATGGAGAACCCACTGAAGCATTGCTTAGTGGGATAAAAATCCCCACACATTTTGGTGGCCAAGGGTCTCAGAAGTCTTCTCTGTTGTTTGTGAGATTAAAGGCCAAAAAAAAAAAGGTTTTTCTTTTTCGTAGAAATGTGGTCTCCACCTGTTGTCCAGGCTGGTCTTGAATTCCTGGCCTCAAGCAATCCTCCCACCTCACATCACTGCACCCAGCCTGGTTTTTCTTTTTACACGTGACAACTGAGTGTAATATGTGATGCTGGACTGAATTCTGGACCAAGGTTTTAAAAAACTTATTATTTTGCTACAGGGGACATTAGTGAGATAACTGATGAAATTTAAATAAGGTATACCAATTATAGTACTGTATCAGTGTTAATTTCATGATTTTCATAACTGTATTGTGATTATGTAAGAGAATATCATTGTTTTTGCAAAGTTATTTAGTGGTAAAGTGGCATCGTGTCTGCAGTTTACTCAAATGTATAAACAGAGGGGCCAGGTTGGGTAGCCCATGCCTGTAATCCCAGCACTTTGGGAGGCCAAGGCAGCTGGACACTTGAGGTCAGAAGTATAAGACCAGCCTGACCAACATGATGAAACCTAATCTGTACTAAAAATACAAAAATTAGCTGGGTGCAGTGGTGCATGCCTGTAATCCCAGCTACTTGGGAGGCTGAAGCACAAGAATTATTTGAATCCCAGAGGCCAAAGTTGCAGTGAGCTGAGATTCCAGCTGAGGTGCGCAGACTGCTTGAACCCAGGAGGTTAAAGTTGCAGTAAGCGATGATCATGCCACTGCACTCCAGCCTGGGTGACAGAGCGAGACCCCATCTGTAAAAATAAATAAATAAATAAATTGGTATGATCACTCTGGAAAGCTGTTAGTATACTCAATTGAACACACACATACCCTAAGACCCAGCAATTTTACTACTAAATATGTGTCCTGCAGAAAAGACAGATGCACCAAAAGACATACACAGGAATATTATTCACATCAGCTCCAAACTGGATACAACCCCAAAATAGAATAGATAAGTAAAATGTGGCATATTTATACAACTGAACACTATGGGCAATAAAAATGAATGAACTGCAACTATATACAACCACGCGGATGAATTTCTCAAACGTAATGTTGAGCAAGACACAAAAGAACACACGCAGTATGAGTCCATTTACACATAGTTCAAAAACAGGCAAAATTCATTCTTAAAACATTTTTACCGCCGGGCGCGGTGGCTCAAGCCTGTAATCCCAGCACTTTGGGAGGCTGAGGTGGGCGGATCACAAGGTCAGGAGTTGGAGACCACGGTGAAACCCCGTCTCTACTAAACATACAAAAAATTAACCAGGCGCTGTGGCGGGCACCTGTAGTCCCAGCTAGTCCGGACGCTGAGGCAGGAGAATGGCGTGAACCCGGGAGACAGAGCTTGCAGTGAGCCGAGATCGCGCCACTGCACTCCAGCCTGGGGGACAGAGCGAGACTCCGTCTCAAAAAAAAAAACACAAAACATTTTTACTTTTTGATTGAATTATAACCAGAGAAAATGTACAAATCTTAAATGTATAGCATTATAGCATTTTGACATATGGAAAACATTCATAATGTTAAATACCTAGATTCAGATATGGACTATTTCATCCCCCAGTAGCTGTGTCCCCCTCCCAGATGATAACTCCAAACTTCAACTACTATTCTGATCTATTTGTACCTTGAATTAGATTTTCCATAGACTACTCTTTTTTTCCTTCTTTTTTTTAAAGACAGAGTCTGAACTCTATCATCCATTAAATAATAATGAGCATTGCCCCTTCCCGCTAACCCCTAGCAATCAGTTTCACTTTTTGTCTTTATGATTTTGTATTATTTATTTAGAAACAAGGTCTCGCTTCGTTGCCCAGGCTGGAGTGCAATGGCATGAACACAGCTTACTGCAGCCTCTAGTTCCTCGGTTCAAGTGAGTCTCCTGCCACAGCCTCCCGAGTAGCTGAGACTACAGACACATGCCACCATGACCAGCTAATTGTTTTAAATTTATGTTTTATAGGGATGGGGTCTCACTCTGTTGCCCCGGGTGGCCTCAAACTCCTGAGCTCAAGCAATCCTCCCACCTCAGCCTCCCAGTGTTGAGATTACAGGCATAAACCACCATGCCTGATTTTTTTAAAAAAAATCTTTTGTAGATATGGGTCTCCCTGTGTTGCCCAGGCTGGCCTTGAAATCCTGGGCTCAAGTAATCATCCTGCTTTGGCCTGATTACTATTTCTACTATTTCTTGACCTGACTGTTGTTTCCATAGATGTAGTCACCTTTTTATTATTTATTGATCTCTATATTTAGGATTTGTATACTTTTCTGTATATATGTTACACTCCAATAAATTTTTTCTCAAAAAAATCTAAAGATTTTATTACCTATTCCTCCTCAACTCAGTACAGTGACTGTAGAATTTTACCTAGGTATGTTCTAAGCATTAGCTTCTGTCATTTCTGTGACTACAGGCATATTTAATGATTTTATGATTATTATCATTTTATGAGTCTGCCTATTTAAACTAAAGACATATTAAAATAGGAAGGGGGATAACATTTGAAAAATTAGTATATTATAAAAGTCATTGTTTGTGAGGAGAGGTGATGAATACATGAATTGTTTTTTCTCTCTCAGCTTCTAGTTACTAAAGAACAATCTGAGATCTGAGAGACATTCTGAAGAGGTGGGGAAAGGGGCTTACCAATGAGCAATAAGAGCAACTTGTTTGGACACAGTGTCTACCTGGACACCATTTCCCAGTCAGTCCCATTTAGATTAAAATATGTCTCTGTCTGGGTGCAGTAGCTCATGCCTGTAATCCCAGCACTTTGGGCCAGGTGGGTGGATCACCTGAGGTCAGGAGTTCGAGATTAACCTGGCCAACATAGTGAAACCCCATCTCTACTAAACATACAAAAATTACTTGGGCATGGTGGTGTGCAACTGTAGTCCCAGCTATTTGGGTGGCTGAGGCAGGAGCATCACTTGAACCCTGGGGGATGGAGGTTGCAGTGAGCCAAGATGGCGCCACTGCACTCCAGCCTGGGTAACAGAGTAAGACTCCATCTCTAAATAAAATAAAT